GGGCGACGCCTTTGCGGTTTGCCTTGGCCGCCTTGTCCTTTGCGTTCGCAGGCCGTTTTAGCGATCCGGGGCGAGGGGGGCTCTGGTTCCTGTTTGGGCTCGATGGCGGGTTGTGCCTTGATGCGTGCAGAGGCTCGCGCCATGTCCGGCAAGATGATGCTAGCTTTTAGACAGACTATTGAGGAATCAATGGCACCAAGAGACGAGGCAATTCGTAGGGGGAAGAGGTGCTGGATGTTGCCGGAAGAGACGTGTCCCAGAGACAGGGTTTGATCCGAGTCGACGCGTCACGATGCACGCCCTTCGGTCGCCAAGTCAGGTGACCTCGAGGCGCCTTCCTGTCGACCAGCCTCCACCACCCATAGGCACAACACCACGTACTGACTATCACCACGTACCGGCTATCACCAATCGTCACGAGAGTGCAGTGCAAGATAATATTGCTGCGCAGAATTAATGTGAACTCGTTATCCCTGTTCCTACAGATACTCCATGGCAAAACAATCGTGATCCGACCCAACCAGCCCGCCTTGAACCCCTGAAGCTTGCTCCCACGCAGCTGGCTCCCATGCACCCTCTCCATCCCTGGCGCGCCTTGTGCTTTTGGTCTTGGCCAAGCCTGTGACACCCTGTACAGCCTGATCCATGCCCCCCCCCCGCCCCCCAGACAAAGGAAAAATTGACGCAAGAGAAGCTCCATCCAGACATCCCGAGGGCTAGCCTATGAAGGTCATCTCCGACGTGCGGTCTTTCGCAAACTGGTCCTTGTACGTCTCCCACAGCTTCTGCAGCTCGGCCACGTACAGCGCATGCAGGCGGTCGATATCCGCCTGGTCCGGCTGCGGCGTCGTGGCGGCCGCGACCCGGATCGGCTTGCCGACGACGATGTTGAGCGGCCGGCGGTACGGCATGACGCCCACGTCGTAGTTGAGGATGCCGCGTCCGTGCAGCGCCGGCAGCGTAAACTTGAACACGTTGAGCAGAAACATCTGGATCCTGTGCACCATGGGGTGGGTCCGCGGGCTGAGCTGGTCGTAGAGGTCGTTCTCGCCAAAGGCCAGCACGGGCACGAGGTCGGCACCCGTCCGCAGCGCCATCTTGATGAAGCCCTTGCGGCCCTTGATGATGAGGCGGAGGTTGCCCGGCTGGGCCTCGAGCGACTCGCGCGCGCCGCCGATGACGATGGTGACGCCGCGGCCCATGCCCTCGTTGTTGGGCCCGCCGCGCGTCAGCGTGTTCCAGATGGACTCCTTCGACACGGAGCGGATGCCCATGGCCAGGATCCAGTCGCGGTAAAAGGGGATGCGGAAGTTCGAGTCGAGCGTCAGCAGCGTGTTGGTGATGCCCGGGAACTTGTCCCGGAACCCGAGCGCGTTGGTCGCGAAGGCGGCCCACGCGCCGTGCGAGATGATGCCGTGCGGGTGGTACCCGAAAATGTACTTTCTCGTCGGCGGCAGCTCGTACGTCTTGTGCAGCTCGGCCGGGTAGTAACCCGCGAAGAGCCTCCACACGGGCAGGGATCGCAGAAACTCGGACCGGAAGCGCAGCCGGCCGTCAGACGGCGCCGTCGACAGCGAGAGGTGGATGAGGTAGGGCACGAGCAGAGGCCAGTTGAGGGGGATCGCGGCGAGGAAGAAGAAGAAGGAGACGAGGGCCAGAATCGACACGGTGTGCATCAGCACGGCGGCCATCTGCAGCCGCCGCACGACAGGCACGCGCAGCGGCACGAACCGGATGCCGCCGGCCTTCCAGGCGTGCCTCTCGTACCGGCCTCGGTCCTGTGCCGCCAGTATCAGAGGCGGATAGCCCGTGTCTTCGTCGCCCTCCTTGGCGTCCTGGTGGCGATCCGCGCCGTTGACCAGCGTGTGGACCGTCTCGTCGCTGTTGTCGCTGCGAACTGACCCAGAGGCGCGGGCGTAGTTGATCGCGCCTCCATCCTCCTGCCTGGACCCCCTGCGCTTCGCCGCGTTGAGGGAGGGTGTTCTGTAGTGGCCGCGCGTCGGGCTCTTTGGCGTCTCGTCCAACCCCTGCGATGGTCAGCGGCTTCGGTGTGTGGGGTGAGTTCGCGGGGGATGATGCTGCTCATACTGTGCCCGAGTACTCATGGCTCGATTCTTGTCTTTCAGCGACGGGGCGCACTATGCTCTCGAGCTGCGTTCCTGCCTTCTTTTCGGACCTCGTTGCGGGCTTCGATTCGGCCTGCGACTCGAGCGCTTCTGCATGTTGGTTAGCCACGGAGATGTCCTCCTGCTGCGAATCTTTGGTGCTGGGGCTCGTCTTTGTGTCTTTCGTCGGAGCCGCACGTCGGACGGACTTCTTTCGAGACATTGTGACCGTGGCTGTCGAGTGTAGCTTGATGACGGGAGGAGGGAGAGCAGCTCACCTGGTGGTGCGGTGGCGACCTTGGCTTCGTCCCCGAAATTGGCCGTCTCATTGCTGTGTGGCGCCATGTCTTGGGCTCAACAGCTGGTTCGTGGCTGTAAGAGGCGGACAGGTATGCGACAGCGACGAGCAGAGGTTGAAAGATCGAAGCGCAAAGCAAGTGGGAGGGAGGGAGGGATGCGACAAGGCAGCCTCAGACTGGCATGCACCTGGTTCTAGTGCTGTCATAAAGGGACAAAAGAAACCAATACAATGACGGCTAGAAGAAGATGGGTGAAGCCGTGATGGGGAAAGAGCTGAAAGGGTAAAAAAAAGACGTAGGAAAGCGAGCCGCGGTGGTCGGTTGTCTCGGCTGAGACTTGGGGGAGAAAGGGGGGGGGGAGAAGAGCTTCGTCGTGGAATCGCGCACTCGCGGACCTGTGACGGAGGCGACACGAGCGTCCAGCCGCAGCTCGGACGAGCGACGATGACGTGGGCCGTCAGCACCACCAGTACCAGGCACTCTGACAGCATCGGCCAGCACCAGCAGCGGGCCGAGGGACACAGACTCGCTGTTTTGATGCATATCGGCTTTACATGCACCAGGAGCTGCACCTTGGATGAACCACCAACATCACATGCTAGTGGGATCCATACTTTGGGTTCTGATAAAGCTTCCCGTGTTTTGACCTCTTTGGAACATACTGTTCCGGTTGATTATTTACATACAATCTCAGTCGATTATTCATGAGAGCCTCAGTCGATTATGCACAAATGACAGCCCCAGTCGATTCTGGCCATGACACAGTTGATGGGAAGAGGTGTGTCGTGCTTCTGTCAACTTGTCCACAGTTGACGCCCGCAGCATTACTCTTCATGCACACCTCAGAAATCATACAGGAACCTCACCTCTGCTCCATCACCCTGGACAGGACTCGATTAAGGGTCATCATGATCCACGAGGCTAGGAGTGTGATACGCACTTATTCGCACTGTAAAACACAGCACAACCCTGTACGTTCTGCAAGTGCGGGGCACTCGCACACTGTATGCCCCTCCATGTCGAGCTTCACACTCGATTGGAAGTCTTTTTGACGACGGACCCCACCTCGACAGCACACTCTCACGTCCCCAAAATTCACATGAACATCCCTTGACTTCATATAACATCCAGCATCAGCTGCTGTGATTCAAGATGGCCAAGGACAAAAAGGGAAAGGGTGATGACAAAAAGGCCAAGCTAGTGAGTCGTTCCGCTGCCGCAAAGCGCCCACCTCCCCTCGCTGACAGGCGACACTCCCCTCCGCTGGAGTAGGCCGCGAAAAAGGCGAAGCAGGCCAACAAGGCCGAGAAGAAGGCCAAGGTAAAGGCCTCCAAGGTCGAGGGCAGCGATGCCGAGGACGTCGACCTCGACGAGGTCCTCGAGGAATACAGGAAGCAGCAGGAGCTCTTCCTCAAGGTCACCGAGACGGTCTGCGATGGGCCCCCCAAGGCCCGCGCCGCCTCGTGCTTCATCGCGTCGCCCTGTGACCGCAACAACCTGCTGCTCTTTGGTGGCGAGTACTTCAACGGCGCCCTGGCCCAGTTCTTCAACGACCTGCACATTTACTATGTCGACCGCGACGAGTGGCGCCTCGTCACCTCGCCCAACGCGCCGCTGCCGAGGTCTGGCCACGCCTGGACGCGCGCCGGCAACCCCAACCACATCTACCTCTTTGGCGGCGAGTTCTCGTCGCCCAAGCAGGGTACCTTCCATCACTACTCGGACTTTTGGCGCCTCGAGCCCAGCACGAGGGAGTGGACCAAGATTGAATGCAAGGGCAAGACGCCGCCGGCCCGGAGCGGCCACCGCATGACGTACTGGAAACACTACATCATTCTCTTTGGCGGCTTCCAGGACACGTCGAACCAGACCAAGTACCTCGCCGACCTGTGGATCTTTGACACGCAGAATTTCTCGTGGCACACGCCGACGCTGCCGCCGGCGCAGCTCAAGCCAGACGCTCGCTCCTCCTTCACGCTGCTGCCGCACGAAAAGGGCGCCGTGCTCTACGGCGGCTACTCGCGCGTCAAAGCCACCGTCGCCGCCAACAAGCAGGCCAAGGGCGCCTCGCAGGGCCAGAAGAACATCCTCCGCCCGCTGATCCACGACGACTGCTTCTTCCTGCGCATGGCGCCCGCCCCGGAGGGGAGCCCGCCGACGGCCCCGCCCGTCATCCGCTGGGAGCGGCGCAAGAAGCCGGCCAACGCCCCCGCGCCGAAGCGCGCCGGCGCCACCATGACCTACCACAAGGGCCGCGGCATCCTCTTCGGCGGCGTGCACGACGTCGAGGAGAGCGAGGACGGCATGGACAGCGAGTTCTTCCGCGAGCTGTTCGCGTGGAATGTCGAGCGCAACCGCTTCTTCCCCATGGCGCTGCACAAGCCGCGCCAGCAGCAGGGGCAAAAAAGGCCACGGGCGCCGACCAGCGCGGCGCCGGCCGGCCGCCGCCCGCGCCCCAGGGACAAAGAGGACGAGCTGCCTGAAGCAGCTGGGCGGCCCTCGAAAACGGGCCCCCTCGCTCGAGGACGCCGACGACATGGAACCTCGACCGGCAAGGCCCGAACGAACCCCGAGGCCCGACAAGACCCCCGTTGCGGGAAAATGCCGGTTCAGCATTGGAGCTGCCGGCACCCGCGGTTTCAACGCGCAAAATGGCCGGTGCGGGATGATGGGCTCCTACATTTTACGGGGGGCCCCTTTTGAGCAAAAAGACCGGGGAGTTTACGTTTTGACGACTTTGAACGCCGTCGACCTCGGGCAAGGTTGGAAGGGTTGCAAGGAGATCTTCAACAGGCCC